TCTGTCTTCCCCTCCTTCTCTCCATTCCCTCCTGCCTTCCCCTCCCTCTTTCCATTCCCTCCTGCCTTCCTCCCACCCTTCTCTTTCTGCCTCCTTCCCTTCTTCCTCCTATTCCCTCCCTCCTTCCCTTTTCTCTTCCCTCCCTTTCTCCGTTCCCTCCTGCCTTCCTCTCTTCTCACTCTCCCTCCTTCCCTCCCTTCCTTTCCTCCCTCCTTCCCTCCATTCCTTTCCTCCCTCCCTCCCTCCCTCCCTCCCTCCCTTCCTTCCTTTCCTCCCTCCCTCCTTCCATCTCTCCTCGGATCCCTTTCTTTATTTCCTCCTGCCTTCCTCCTTCCCTCCGCCCCTTCTCTCCCCCTCCCTTTCTCCATTTCTTCCTGCCTCCCATCTCACATTCGTCCGTTTTCCATCCCTTTACTTAATTAATTCTCTCTTTCTTTTCATGCATTCTTTTCTTCTGTTCTCCTTTCATTCTTCCCTCCTTCCATCCTACCTCTCTTCGTCTTCCTTGTTTCTTCCTTTCTCCCTCATATATTTTTCTCCTCCCTTTTTCCCTTCTCACGTATTCCCTCCCATTATTCCTCGTCTTTCTTTCTATTTCCCTTCCGTTCTCCTTTTCTTCCTTCGTCCCCCTCCTCCTCCTCTCTCCGTCCCTTCTTTCTTCATTTCTTCCTTCGACACTCTCAATGCCTCCTTTTCCCGACTCCGTTTCCTCCTCTCCTCCACCCAGCCACCTGTCTTCCTTTCCCCGCCCTTCAATTCCATTTCCCCTCCTTTCTTTCGCTTGTTAAAAGGCGGATTGCGGACGAGGCATCTGTTTTACTTTCTACTTCGCGTGTATTGTATTTATTGTTTATTCCCTTGTTCGCTTTTATTGTAATCTGGGTAATACCTTGTTAGGAGTGAAGAAATTTGTCGCTCGTTTTGTGCGACGTTTGGGCATTCGTTGGGATATAGAAGACTTGCAATTGTTATTTCTGCAAACATTACAAAGACAATTCGTTGTGTCTGAAAACATGTGCCTATTGAGTGTTGCAACGGCGTGGTTTCTGTCGTTGGAAATGTTATTTGGTTCACATTACGATGGATATTTGATGCATATTACGCACTGCGCTAATGCTTCCAGACAAATGATATGCAAAGTATATTGCAGTGCAACAGTTCGGTTAGAATTAAACTGTTATGCGACGCACCTTCCAGCTCTCATTGACCGCGATGCAGGTGGCTGATACACAAGATAAAAAGAATATGTATATATCGAGTCAGCATGACCATCTCGATGACCAGATGGCGAAATGGGACCGCCGGACCGCATCCTCCAGGGCTCGGCGGTCGGGGCGGCGCACGTGGTGGCAGCGGCGGCGGCACTTGGCCAGCCCGACAACAAACAGGTTTATAGCGCAGGCGGACGATGGTCAATGAAGCACGATAGTTTATGGCGGGCAGGTCCTCGTCGTGTGGGCCGCCGCTGCACCGCGCCGCCTGTGTATCTCTCATCTGCGGAGGATGCGATATGTGTCTGCCGCGCCGCGTCTTTGGACACTGGTGTTGCGCGAGAGGCTGTGGCGCGCTATAGGAGAGGTCGTGCCTTTCTATGGAGGTTATGATTCATAGGAGCGCCAGGTAGGCCTATCCTGGAGGGACGGGCGGGGGTAGGAGAAAGGCTGCGAGGACGGCGGTTGCATCCTTTCGGTTATCGGGACGACAGCTCGGGAATGTGATTGGAAGGATTTATTTGTGTCTGTGGCGTCTTGGCGATGCTGGGCATTTTCGCTATCCTTCGTTTTCGTATATTCTGTATAAATGGTCCCAGATAGCATCGATCCCTCTGTATGTTTATATATGATAAATGTATTACTTACAGGCTAAAATAGATGCAATGTGTTGAAAGTCTTTCACCACATATTCATGTTAACCCCAATGAAGACTTACAACAAAATGTATCTTACATTTTTTCTATCTGATTGGTAGAATAGATATCGGGGGCGTGAACATTGCAAGGTCTGTTTTTCACCTTATTCATTTAACATACTCTATTTCGGATAGGTATAATAGGACAGAATGCGCCAGAGGTCCACAGCCAGGTCCTTTAGTGCAATGTTTGTCAGACTACGCGACCGAGGATTCTAGTCACAACGCCAATTATAAACTAATCTGTAACACTTAACGTATCAACGTCCGGAATGAAAAAAAACTCCTATTTTACATATGCTATCAGTTAATATGTGATTATTGGATTACACGTATCATTTTAAACTTTTCTTAGATATGGCGACCCGCTGATCGCCAGCTCGCGGCCCGTCCTCTGAAGAACCCGGCGATCCCTGTGACAGCCATGACCCCGCGGCTGCCACCGACCAGCCCGCGCCGTCCCGATGGAGGCGGCTGCGGGAGGGAGGGATGGAGGGAGGGAGTAGGAAGGAGGGAGGGAGGAGGAGGTCTCGCCGGTCTGGTCCCGGGCCGCCTCCCGCTCAGCCCGCGCTCCGCCAGTTGACCTGTGACATCCGTGTCGGTGAGACGTGCGCGTACCCAGCTCCTCGGTACTCGCACTCCGCTGCCCGGATTTTAGGCGCATTTAACAGTGTTTGTCACCCGTTCGGGAATACCCTCTTTACTGACCGACAGCGTGTGTTGTGGTAACTGACGTCGTGGAGTTTCCCGCTCGGTGTAGTAGTTTTAAAGGGCGAACAGCGGTAGCCAGGAATATTGACGCGCTGTGATTGTACAAGTGGTGTCGTTTTAATACGTGGTGGTGACGTTGGGGGAGTGGTAAAAAGAAGTTTATAAATACAGTACGTATATACACACAGCTAGTGTTTCGTTGGAAGCGTTGTCGCAAGTTTCGTTATACTCGCGGGCTTCACTGATATGCAACAATAGCGAAGGAACTTGTTATGGAACACCTTGACAGCAAGTAATCCCAGAATCGTTGTAAAAGGTGAGTGCTGCCGTAGATGTTTATACAATTTTTGATGTTTGAAGTTTGAATAAATTGCGCTTTCCGTACGTTAGGTTCTGGTCGCCAATTTGATAATTACACGCTTACTAATAATCATACACCCGTAATTGAAAGAACAAAGCCCGTAGACCGCTTTTCTCGCGTGATAACGGAGAACAGAATGGATTAAAAAAAAAACATTAGACAAACCCGCCTTCTGCTAAACCAAACACATCTCTTAGACGTATCGATTGTACACAAATTCCCCGGCGAGACTGTGAACGTCGTGGGAACACGGCGTCCTGTACATATGACGAGCAAAGGAGGAAAGGTGCGGCTCTTGTGCCTCGAGTCCCAGATGGGCGCATGTGCAGGGAGGAGGAGGGACCCCACCACGACGTCGGGTCTTGTCCCATCTGAATTGCAAAAATGTATCCGACTGACTTATGTATCCGAGTGTCTATTGGTGTATATTTTGTGTAATTTGTTTTCTGTTTGTGTGAATTTTTATGTCTGTGTTTACGAAAGGAAAGGGCTAACTGGCTTTTTGTTGGGTATTGTAGGTGTCTATGTGTGTGATATTTTGTCGGTGTTTACGAATAGCACTGCATTTCTCCACTGAAAAAGATGTCTTGTTTACAAATCATATCTGCCAGACCATGACATGTTTATGGTGTATCACATTTTGAATTTCCATAATGGTGATAAGAGTTTTATAAGGGGGAATAAAGGTTTTATGCGGTGGGTGTTGAATGCTACCTGAACAGACAGGTGTGCTTTATCGTGTGTGTGTGTGTGTGTGTTTGTGAGTGTGTGTGTTTGTGAGTGTGTGTGTTTGTGAGTGTGTGTGTTAGTGAGTGTGTGTGTGTGTGAGAGAGAGAGTAAGTGAGTGAGTGAGTGAGTGTGTGAGTGAGTGTGTGAGTGAGTGTGTGTGAGTGTGTGTGTGTGTGTGTGTGTGTGTGTGTGTGTGTGTGTGTGTGTGTGTGTGTCTGTGTGTGTGTGTGAGAGAGAGAGAGAGAGAGAGAGAGAGAGAGAGAGAGAGAGAGAGAGAGAGAGAGAGAGAGAGAGAGAGAGAGAGAGAGAGAGAGAGAGAGAGAGAGAGAGGGGGTGGGGGTGAGTCGTAAATAAGACTGATTCTCCGATTAATCACAGCTTTCATTCTTTACCCTCAGTAAAAGAAAAAAACAAACTGATATAAGTTACCCAGCGACAAACACACCATATCCTTTACAACCCCCTAATTCCACAAACACCAGGCTTCAAATGAATGAACACCATAAACTTACGAACCATGGTATATTTCATCATTTCTCCTAATGCCTTCCGCTCATATAATAAGATTACACTCAGGCGCGGATGCAGTTTCGCAGAAAATATCGCGACTTCTCATAATTTCTCGCGAGGTTATGAATTGCGCTCCAGTTCATGATATAGCGTATCATAATGTATTTTTGATCATTTATAGTGATGGCTTATGAAACTGGAGGTCAAAAGCGCATTAAAAGATTCAAGAGGAAAACGGTAGACGTGTTTATCCTTGCTGATTAGAGAGGAAGGGGAAGGGAGATGAGGAGGAGGAGGAGGAGTGTGGAGAAGGAAAGGGAAAGGGAAGTAAGGAGTATACGAAAGGAGTAAATGGAATAAGAAAGGATAGAAGAAGAAAAAATAGTAGGATGGGGAATGCAGTAGGAAAGATGAAATGTTAAATGGGAAGTATAGGAGGGAGAGAGATAAGGAGGAAGAGGAAGAGGGGCTGTGGAGGGGGAAAGGAAAAGGGAGATAAGAAGTTATTGAGGGGGAGAGTCAGGGAAACTGGGAGAGAAGGGAAATGGGCAAGGGAAAGAGCCAGGGAGAGAGAAAATGAGGTGGTGTGTGAGGAAGACCGGGGAAGAGTTAAAAAGGAAAGATAGAGGCAGAGATAAAGAAAGAGAGGTATAAGAGGAGAGTTTATAGAGAAAGATACAGATAAAGAGTGATATATATATATATATATATATATATATATATATATATATATATATATATATATATATATATATATATATATATATATATATATGTATAGACGCGTACACGCACACAAACGCACACACGCACGCACATACGCACGCACACACGCACGCACGCACGCACACACGCACGCACACACGCACATACGCACGCACATACGCACACACATACGCACACACGCACGCACGCACGCACGCACGCACGCACACACGCACACACACACACACACACACACACACACACACACACACACACACACACACACACACACACACACACACACACACACACGGAGGGAGGGAGGGAGGGAGAGGGAGAGGGAGAGGGAGAGGGAGAGGGAGAGGGAGAGGGAGAGGGAGAGGGAGAGGGAGAGAGAGAGAGAGAGAGAGAGAGAGAGAGAGAGAGAGAGAGAGAGAGGGAGAGGGAGAGGGAGAGAGAGAGAGAGAGAGAGAGAGACAGAGACAGAGACAGAGACAGAGACAGAGACAGAGAGAGAGAGAGAGAGAGATAGAGATAGAGATAACAACGTCACTAGATGACTCGAAGGCTCGTTCGCACAGGAGAATCAAACCCTCTGGCGTGATATTAAGTAATTGATTCGCTGAAATCCCCCCCCCCCTTCCCCCCGTCTCCGTGTCCGCCCCATGTTCACTCCATCTCACTTCGGACAGAAGCGAAGAATTAATTAGTTGATATATATGCTGTAGATGCTCCGAGTTTTGCCCTGCTGGGTTGAGTCGGCATCAATTCCTCCTATGTCGAACTGTTCCTATGGATAAGGATGGATCTCATTTAGTAATGTGAGAAAGAGAGATAAAGAGAGGTAAAGGGAAGGGGAGAGATAAAGAAAAGAGGGGAGAGACATTATAGATTCGTTAATGGTATTGTATTATAACGGCAGTGTATATATTTATAAAAAAAATCACCTTCCCGAATATCTAGTTTCTTTTCACCGATTACGCACAATCGTTTTTTCCTTTCCCTTTTTCGGTGTGTGTGTGTGTGGGGGGGGGGGTTACACCGCATTCTTTGTACGTTTCTCGCCGGCCAGAAACCACAAGACTCCATCCCGCCCCGCGCATCTTGTCCTAGTGGTTAGAGGGGGGGGGGGGCTAGAGTACAGCAAACTTGGCCCTTATTGTGGAGTAACAGAAGGGTGATAATGTGGTTGGCTCTCGGCTTGTAAAGATACTGGCTGAATAAGCGTTCGGGTCAGTGGGTTTAGCCGCTTTTGTCATCTTTTGTTTAATTAGGCCCCTGTGATTGCAGGCTTTAGATGGAGGCTTGTGTAGACATGGACATACACATCACTTGTTTGGACACGGTCGGAGATACACTGAGATGAATTCGCAACCCTACACTCGCTCATATCTAGACGTGTGTATGCGACACGCATACACAAGCACGCACGTAGGCAACCCTGGCTTAGGGCTGTCAGGGCTAAGTATAAAGAACAGCATATTTTCTTAACTGAATTTATATATTTAATGAATTTTCGCCTCGATGGATCGTGTCCTCTTGCCGTGCGTTCGAAATAGGTTCATAAATACTGCGTAACCTGCGAGTGCCTTCGGGGGGGGGGGGTCCTGTTATTACAATTGTAGCTGTTAATAGTTAAGTAATCAAGTTAGAGGACGAGCCACGTGTTGTCAACCCCTCCCTCCCCCTCCCCTTCCCCATCAGAGGCTCCACTCCCCCATCTACCCCTGTGCCCATTCCCTCCCCCAACGGAGACCACGCCCCTCCCCCCACTAGCTATTCTGTCACCCCGCCCCTGCTCTGTCTCCTCCTGTCCCCCTCCCCCATTTCCCTCCCCCCTACCACTGCGGGAGGTCGGGTGGGGGTCTAGGGTCAGGAGGGGTGGCGTTACGCAGCTGCGGGAGTCCCCAACCGCGAGAGATTAATACTTGGCATCTTAAGGGGGAAAAATCGTAAATAAATATGCTTGGAAAGCGCCAGAATGTCAGACTCGAGAAAAAAAATGAATCATAAATTTTCGCTTAATTTTCGAAGGCCCATTTTTATTTCAGACACAAGACATGTTAAAAGATTAAGAACTCGAACTGGGCATCAGTGTACCCCCCCGGGTGGAGTGGGCATGGCGGGGGCATGAGGGGAAGGGGGCACGCGTCACTCGCGGTCCTCTATCGGCTGTCCTGACGAGAGAGGAAATCAGGAAAAGATTGAAACGGCGGATATCATCGGCAATGCCATTAGCGGTCGATCGGCGCTGGCGAGGCAATTCTTTTTGCATTTTGTCTTTTCGCGAATTGCAGGGGGGGGGGGGCGGAGGAGTGAGGAAGACGTCGTAGATTCTATTTATGATTTTTCTTGTTGGTGTATCCCACACCACCACCACCAACCTCCTCCTCCTCCTCCTCCTCCTCCTCCTCCCTCCTCCTCCTCCTCCTCCTCCTCCTCCTCCTCCTCCTCCTCCTCCTTCTCCTCCTCCTCCTCCTCCTTCTCCTCCTCCTCCTCACACCCCTCCTCCTCCTCCTCCTTCTCCTCCTCCTCCTCCTCCTTCTCCTCCTCCTTCTTCTTCTTCTTCTCCTCCTCCTCCTCCTCCTCCTCACACCCCTCCTCCTCCTCCTCCTCCTCCTCCTCCTCCTCCTCCTCCTCCAGTAACCCCGACGCTCCACCTTGCGGCCCTGATAGCAAGAAGCCTCGAGACCTCGCACTTCTTACCTCCTTCAGGATATGAATAATAGCGATAAGCGCCAAGCCTTAGGGAAAGAGGAGAGAGAGAAAGAGGGAGAGGGAAAGAGGGAGAGGGGGAGGGAAAGGGAAAGGGAGGGAGGTAGGGAGGGAGGGAGGGAGAGGGAGGGAGGGAGAGGCAAAGTTAAAGGGAGGGAGGGAGGGAGGGAGGGAGGGAGGGAGAGAGAGGGAGGGAGAGGAAGAGGGAGAGGGAGAGGGAGAGGGAGAGGGAGAGAGGAAGAGAGAGTGGGAGAGGGAGAGAGAGAGAGAGAGGGAGGGAGAGAGAGAGGGAGGGA